AAAGAAAGAAAGAAAGAAAGAAAGAAAGAAAGAAAGAAAGAAAGAAAGAAAGAAAGAAAGAAAGCCATTGATAATGTGGAATACTTGTAAAGATACAGAAGCTTATTGATGCATAATCTGCCTAGACCAATTTGTAATGGCCATTTTGGTCCGGCATTATACACCAACCAGTAAGCATCATGAAAACACGATCCTCTGTTTACAACTGTAGCCGTCTTTCAGTCAAATACACGCATATCAACCATCAATGCGCCTGCCATCCACGCCCAGTGAGCAAGGAGCTTGACAAGATTGTCAATAGCGTTACTAATGGCTCCCGAATAGGCACTCTAGCAACAGCCAAGAAGCTCTTTCAATTGTTTTATCAACAACATTGCTAGCAGATGGCAGTGTAATACAAGACACACGTGCCGGCCTACGCTTCGCCACTCTCACATTTATGTAAGTGAGAGCCACTTCATCCCGGGTTTGCAGAAGTCAGTCCAAATGTCGCAGACGCGTGTGTCGCAATGCCTATGCGTCTAATCCGCATCGACTGTGGTTCGATGCAGTGAAGCCAAAACAGACACTTTGAGATAGTTCTAGCTAGCTATTTACTTGGGAGTTTATTTGGCATTTAGGTATCAGACTATCTAAATAGCCGTGTTCTGCCAAGTAGAGACTCGAACAGTCTGTAATCCAGTACTCTCGAGCTACTGATGAAGAAGAAAAAAGATCACGGTAATCTGTGCATCCTGGTCTCGGGCTACTGGCGATCACCAGGAATGGCGCTACTGAGAGAGAGCGCAGGGCACGTACAGCCGAGAACATTGATTGAAGTCGCCATTCACAGGGAGCTAGGAAATTGCTTGCGCTGAGGTAGTCCGGCAAAACCGCTGCATGAGCCCTCACGCTGGGTTACAGGAAGGCAGCAAAAGGCGGCATGCTGCAGTCTACTCCGTGACCACTACTCAGTGGCAGAACGCTACAGACCGTGTTCTGATGAGACCCTAATACTAATAGGGTACAATTTCTGGGGTGTTGGGACAGCCTCACTGTAATGCAACACGTGGGGTAACTACCATCCCCGCCTTCCAATCGACATTCACTACCACAGGCTAGAATGCTTGATTCTTCAGGGTTTTGTGAGGAGCAGCTAGAGAATCGAACTGTTACACTAAGACCATAGCTAAACCTTGCCATCATCAGCCTTTGCCCTTGAACGCCTTTGTTTCACCGCCTCTACCGAGCTATGCATAAAAACCATGTGCGGGTTATTGGCAATCTCCTGAGACAGAAGCTTTCCATCGTTGCGACGACGGGCATCCAGAGCTGCAACGCCTGAGGAAGAGACCTGTTTTTCTGCAGCTGCGCGCTCTTCAAGAGCCGCAAGCCTGAGACAGAGGATTAGCGGCTGCCAGTAAAATCAAGAACGTGAAGCAACTACCATTCGAATTCATTAAACCTGTCAGGTAGAGAAGCAGCGCTGGCACGCTTCTTTTGGTAGTAAACCTGCCCTGTTACGCGATCTGTCTGCTTGTCGTAACTCTCATAAATGGTGACCTCATTGATCTGCCAAAGCTGTCTTTGGTCCCTCTGTGTAATGGGTTCTTTATTTGGCTCCCTGTTCTTTTACTTTTTGGTGTGTTTGTGTGATTGTTTTACACCGGGCGGGAAACCCCGCACATGGCTCGCAAATGGCTCATGGAACACGGCTGTACGAGATGCATATTGCCTTGATAATTATTGGATGATATGTACGTAAATTTTGGGCATCCACCGCGGTCAACGACTGCGCCACTCACTTTCAGGGTCCTGTGCCACTTTCAGGGTCCCGCGCCACAATTACATATCACATAATCTAACCCTTCACTTTTCCCGTGCTTGATCAGGGGCAATACCTCACATGCCAGATTTCAATTTTGGGCAAGACGGTGATCGCCTTGCCGCAATGACAGCGAATATGCTAGCAGAAGCAACTTGCTCTAGCAACACCGATCCTGTCGAAGATCCGCCTAACCCAGAACCCGAGCCAGATAGCCTCGAAGATGCACTCTACGATGACAATAACGCTCTGGTGGCAATGCGCCTTCCTGGCCTTGCGGATGAATACCGCAAACATATTGAATCAGAAAAAGAGGAAATAGAGGAGACGATTCAGAATCTTCTTGGTGTGCGTTGGTGTCGTGTCATGACATCGCAATTGTGGAAATCGGGAAGCTTCAATCTAGCCATCCCAATCTACCTACCACAAGATCGGACAATGTATTTACGATTGCCATTTCCATACCGATTAGGGGAGTCACAGTGCCCAGGAAATGTCGAAGAGAAGCTTCGTACAGAGATAGCGACTTATTCCTGGATTTCCAAAAATTGCGCCGATGTGCCGATCCCGACCTTACATGCCTTTGGACTGCCTGATGGATCTACGGTAAGTACTGCTCTTCTCACTTTCTATACGATTACATTGATTGACTCGAAAATAGTATACACGGCCGGATGATTCTCCCTTCATTGAGAGAGTCTGGTCATACGTTCAACACATCAAGCGACGTCTCTTCGGACAACCTGCCGCAATTTCGCACATTAGGCGACGTGTCCGTCACTCCCTGGACTACGGTTTCCTTCTACTTAGCAAAGCTCGCGGCAAGAGTCTAGCATTTTCCTGGGGCAAACACTGCCAAGAAAAAGCTTATCGTGAAAACTTGTTCCGGAGTCTTGCGCGAATATCACTTTCTCTGCATTCTATCCCCTTCAACCGCATCGGGGCTTTAAGCCTTCAGCCAAATATGAGCATTGCGATGACGAATCGACCTCTTCATCTTTACTTTCATATGCTAGAAAATGAAGGTATACCTTCTGGGATTCCCCGTGATCGCACATATGCCGAGACGGAGGCGTACATTTCGGATCTTATCACCGTCCAGGACAATAAACTACGACATCAGCCCAACGCTATACATGATGTGACGGATTGTCGGAAGCAGTTGGCTGCCCTCACCGCATTGCGGGCGGTGATGCACCATTTTATCAAGCCCGAACTTCGAGACGGGCCTTTCTTTTACACATTGACCGATTTACATCCAAGCAACATCTTTGTTGACGAACACTGGAACGTGGTAGACATAATTGATTTAGAATGGGCCCATTCCATGCCGCTTCAGATGCAAAGGCCCCCTTTTTGGTTGACATCAAGAGGAGTAGACGGGTTCGATAACGATGCGGCACTCAGTGAATACGCGACGGTGCTTGACGAGTACTTTCAAACGTACGAAACTGAGGAGCGGCGCCGCAACCGTACAGACTTTCAGACATCTGTATACCGCGATATGTGGCACAGAGGTAGCTTTTGGTACTTTCATGCAGCCGCCATACCGGCAGCAATGTACGGCTTGTTTAACAAACGAATCCAGCCCCTGTTCAACAAAGAGCACGCAAGATCCACAGCTGTTGACGATGTTTTGCATTATTACTGGGGCCAAGGGCTGGATAGCTTTACTGCAAGAAAGCTAGCAGACAAGGAGCAGTATTTAGTCAATGTACGAGAGCAGTACCGTGCTCTATCGGGAGGAAAGAAACGCGGCTAACATGCGGTGCGTGCTTGGCGCCGTCTATCCATTGACGACAGCCTCAGTTATGGGAGTGGTTGAAATGTTGTCCATCTCATGTAAATACAGATTTGTTATTTCCTTGGCGACTTGAATGGCGTTGCGGCGGTCGATACCAGACCGATGTACAAAATATTCCCACTCAATACCCGGCCGACTCTTTTCTATGATGTTCCCCGCCATTGGCGCTTCGATGCACGTCTATTCTTCTTGACAAAAAGGTACTCTCTCATTCGCTTGATTGTTGTTGTTGTTGTGAACTCGAGTCAAAAAAAAATGTCGACTCGGTTACTGCAACGTCTGGGCAGAGGTGCTTTTACTTTCCGACCGCTGATGCCAAGCAAGACACTTGGCTTTCCGCGCCGGTGCTCTCCGACGGCAGGCTGGCCTTTCGCCACTTGCCTCCCATGTACCTAGGGCATGCGCTTTGTTGAAATTGTCGAAAGAGGAGAGTGGTGGGACGACGAGACGGAATGTCGCTTCCTCTGCATTGGGATAGGGCCGGAGAAAGTCCACCCAGCGATCTGGCAAAAGTACTCAAGTCCATAGGGGTCGAAGCCCAAGTTTAAAAAAAAAACCCCCGTGTTTTGAAAAGGCAGCTAAGGATACTCTAATAACTAGCAAGGGGCAGGGCTTTTCTAGTTATGTGCTCTCCTCTCCACGGGTAAACAGAGCAGCGGCTTTAGAAGACAAGAGCGGCTTGCTTTCAACCTGTCAATGAATATCTAAAAGTCATCCTAAAGAGGCTCCAGAAACTTGTTCGTCATCATCTGGTTCGCGCAGTCCTTAGCCATAGCGTCAGTAAGAGAGAGAGGTGGGTTTCCGCAGCTCTTAAAGGCGTCTAGACAGAATTGTTTGTCATAACGAGCATTGTTTGTAGCCTCCATTATTTGGCAGTATTCATCGATGGTTTGGCCTGTCGGTCTAGGAGTCGGACTCGGGCTTGGGCTTAGACGGACAACTCTGCGCCGCTTCCTCCTTGACAGGCGCCGCTTCCTCCTTGATAGGCGCCACTTCCTCCTTGATAGGCGTCACTTCCTCCTTGATAGGCGTCACTTCCTCCTTGATAGGCGTTGCTTCCTCCTTGATAGGCGTCGCTTCCTCCTTGGGCTTAGACGGACAACTCTGCGTCGCTTCCTCCTTGTCAGGCGTTGCTTCCTCCTTGTCAGGCGTCGCTTCCTCCGTACCAGGCGTCGTCTCCTGCTGGTCAGGCTTCAGCCCCTTGTTCTTAACGCACTCCTCCCGTGCGTTATCCCGATCCTTTTCGCAGTCCGCCTGGATCCCCTTAAGCACTCTGTCTTTCTTACACTGGGCAAAAACACGGTTGATTGGGGCGGTACACACATCCTCTGTCTTCCTGTCGACGTCGTCAAGTTCGCTCTCCGCGTCGTGTCCGAGGCACGACGCCTTAGCGTCATCACGCTCCTTATAGCATCGTTCGTGGAGGTCAAGCTTAGGCTCATCGCGCTTGGGTGCTTTAATACACTTAAGAAATACCTTGGCGCTCGCTGAGAGGCAGATCTTCTCGGGGCTATTCGGCGCCGGCGGCGTTTTGATAGGCGCCGGCGGCGTGCTGGTAGGCGCCGACGGCGTGTTGGTAGGCGCCGACGCGTTGCTGTCCACGCTAGTCGCCGGCGCGTTGCTGTCCACGTCAACCGGTGCGGCAAGGGCATATCCCATGAGGGAGGTGATGATAACGGCAGCGACCTTCATAATTGCTAAGGTGACTTTGATGTATTTCTTAAAAAGAGAGTAAGATATATAACTAAAGGATAGTGAATGAGTTGAGTGACTAAGGCAAAGAAGGGGTTGCGTTAGCTATTTATATACGTAACTGAGCCCTGATAAACTTGTATTTCCTAGCTTTTCAATCCCCAAGTATCTACTGTATATCAACTCTAGGCTATATCTCCTTCTATCAAACCACTTAGAAAAGCGTTATGCGAACCATGACAAGTGTGCATATCTTGTCCCACCGCTTTAATTCGAGGACAATTACGGAGTACGCTGGTAGTATATTAAGAGGCGGGCTTTGAATATTATGCCACCCAAGCCAGTGTCTGTCCTGATTGTATGTCTATTACCTATAGTGTGTTTCAAAATACGCCGAGGCCTATTCTAGAATATAGGCATAGAGAATGACTTGCCATCATCATGTAAGTGGTCCAGGGTCTTGATACCTGATTCACGCCATGCCTACGTAAGCCTGCAAGGGTACTAAATTGATATTCCTACGTATTTCCTGCTTAACGACACGTATTCATCTTATAGGATTGCTATACGGGGAAATGAATGATCCTTTGCCAGCTGCGCGATGTATCGCTTATACTCTTCGCCATACTTCCTGGCAAGAATGACAAGAATAGCTGTGCACCAACTTTTCGTGCCTGGTTCGCAAGCCTTTACCGTCTTTTGGGTGAAGGGGACATCCGCCGCGGGCTATGGGCCGCACGTATTGCTGGCACGTAGTCGTTGCTCACCAAGGACTTTGAGAAAAGCAGGACACGAATCACTCTGGTACTGTTCACACAGATCGTCAAGAGTCCCTTGAGCGCCGGCTGCTCTCATTGAGCGGGCGGCCGGTAGCTACCTACAGTAACCCGCCTAAAACAAAACGACCGGGTTGTCGTCGCTGACTCGCTGGTGGCGTTAGTCGCATTAACAGCCGCCCGAGTTCATTCATTAAAAAGCCGCCCAAGTCATTCAATAACAGTCGCCCGAGTCATTCAGACTAGACGAAACGCCTCGAACCAGCAGCATTGATTGATAAAGAACAAATAATGTTCCCCTACCCCCTGATAATTCGAAAAGTTGACTCAGATTAAAACTGTTTAACCCAACTTTTCATGACTGGCCTATAGAATAAACAGTACTGTGGTCCTTGCTCAAATCTTGACCGAAAACCACATCACTGACACCAGTTCTTCTCGCAACAACACATCTCTCTCCATATCCTTGCTACCAACGCGGCGGGCAATAGAACTCAATTCATTCAACATGCAATTTCATCAATTACTTTAAAGTGCCTTTTTTGGTAGGCGTCGTCACTGCTGACATGACGGCACGGAGCCGGAGGAACGATCCACCATAACCACGTATATCATCCAGCGTAGCCAGCATAGTCAGATAGTTCTTTAATCAACACACAATCATCTTCCTTACCTGCAGTATCTCATCAGTCACTGCCGTCCCCTACCCAGCTTCGCTACAAGCCGGGCACGCCGGCTTAGTTACATCGACATCAACCTCAGCCTCGATCCTGACTGATCAAGAGCTTAGACATGATCTCGAGGAGAAGCAGACTAGGTCTGATAAGGCGGAAATCGACGGACCGAAGCCGCCGTTTCGAGAGGCTGCTGTCGGTGAAGAAAGGAAACGATAAGGCGGCGATCCGACAAGCCAGACTCTTAAATTTTGGACCTGAGAGGGGCGAAGAATGCCTTGGCACGTCAAAGTGGTGTGAAAAAATGTTTATCGAGCAGGAATTTGATTCTCTCCATGATTGCCTTGAAACCCGCGAGCAGGACACAGCAGCAGAGGAGCCTGGCTGCTTTGAACCATAACGGTAAAACGGTGCTATGTGGTGTTACGAGCGCTACCGCAAACGGGTGCTGGCCAGGGACGAGTCGACGGATGTGTAACTGCTCAGGCGATGGTGTAATGGCTCCGAGTTGGGCTTATTGAGATTACAGTCGCACATTAGCGACGCAACCGCCATTCGTAAAATACAGAGCAGCTACCATGGAAAAAGTACCAACACCTCGTATCTACCTTGCTGGAAGCACTCTACAAGTAGTTTCATAACTAACTTGTAGTATTATTTTTCCTCTTCTTCTTTGCAAAAGTGGGCAGCAATGGTACACCGTAAAGGCCACTGAACACTGCCCTCGACACCACGCCGCCGAGGTTGCCATATTCTGGCGCACAACTTACCGCGCTGGCTCCTGTAGAATGATCAACAGAGTCATATGTTCCTGTAGTTATATTAGATATTTTATTCAGAGGTGCGATTCGTTAGCTTTTCTTCTACTAGTAATGCATAGAGGTTGCTAGCTAGGGCTTAGTGAACATGGTGTTGACGCTAAGCATTTCGAGAAATGGATTTCGTTGGTGTCAGGTTTATCAACGATAATTATCGTGAGGTAATTAAGCTAGGTGGCCAAGGGGTGGAAAAAATACACCGCCGATACACCACAACATCTATTACTACTAATAGTTATAATTAACTATTTATAATAAAATAAATTAAAAAAATAATATTACTAAATTAAGTATTTATAATAAGCTTAATATAAACTATTAAAACTTTTAAATTAGTTATTAATATATTTAAAAAATAACTATAATAATAAAAAGAATATATAAAAATAACTATAATAAAATAAAAAAATTAGAATATTTTTTAAATAACTTATAAAAATATATTTTTATATATATTTAAAACTATTAAGATAATATAATAATATAAACTTATAAAAACTTCTAATAAAATATTATTATATTTTATAAATTAATTTAAAAAATATATAATTTTTTAAAAAATTAACTATTAGTTTTTATTAATTTTATATATATTAGATTATAAGTATATAGAAAAAGCTTAAGTAGATAAATTATTTAGTAATTTTATTATATTATAGTACTTTCTTTATAATTATTTTCCTTTACTTTAGGGCTATTATAGTAATAATAAATATATAGTAGTTGATGGTGTGGATCGGCGATGTTTTTTTTCCCCCCGGGGGTGGCGTACCATAGGTAGGCTTGAGGGAAAGTGGGGCCAAAGTGGCCAATCAGAGGCTACAGTGCCTAAGGCTCCAAACAGTTGGATTCTTCCATGAGTTTTCAAAGAGAACGTGATTGATTGACTTGTACTGAACAGTGAGGCTCGCCTGTATTATTCGACGCGCTGTGTACATGTTTCACTGCAGCAGCAAACAGTTGCGGCAACTCGACCAAAACTTCATCGACAGGGGAACGAGCAAAATGAGGAGGGGAAAAAAAAAAGGAGGAACAAGTAATATCATGACCGCGAGAAGTAGTACATTATTTTGTGTTTCTTTGATTTCCTCCTCTTCTTTACTATGACTGAGTGCGTCTTATATTACGCGCTGTCGCTGGCGCGTCTTTTGCCTGCCTGCCACAACATCATTCATTGCCGAGGTCGGATGCCTCATCCAACATGACAAACATGGATACTCTTACGCGATGAAGAAATACATGAAGAATACGCCTATATACCGCATCGCATGGAAGCCGGCATGATCCGGATTCACGATGAGGACGCACCGAAGCTGCCACGGACGCGGACGTGGGCCTCTGCTGTAAGAGGGGCAGGCCGATTAAGCGCTTTACCCGTCGAGGTCCTTCACCTTACCGTTGCGCATCTCGACTTTCGCTCCCTGTCTCGTCTAAGTCGTGCCTCGAGGCGAGCCCAGGAACTCGTCACCTCGTTACCGGCCTACCAAGACCTGCTTCGCCATGCCCCTAAAGCGTTGGCCACGCTGAGAAGAATGACCATTTTACACATACACAGCTCCCAAACGCTTCGACGCGTCTTTATTCGGAGCAATGTGTATGTTGTGGGAACTTTGGTGCTGTTCTATTCCTGCTCAATTGCGAAAGATGTTGCTTCGAATGCCTCTCCAACAAGCAAGCCTTGTGGGCGATGCCAACGCGCCAGGGCGGCCACGTGCTTTTGGTATCCCGGCCAGGGAGCTCAAACGTCTGCCAGCAGCGCGTAGCTTGCCTGGCGCATATATTGTCAAGTACAATATCAAGCGATCAAGGCCTCAGCGTCTAGTGAGCGTTCGAGCCGCCAAGGAGCTGGCATTAAAACTACACGGCGGTACTGAAGCTTCTCTTGCCGCCCATCTCCGAGCGCCGGCTACCGCAGCCTTCAGCGCGGACTGACTTGCAATGGGAATTTGCACACTTGCACCGCACACAACTGTCATTCGAGGCCCACGACCCTCGCCTAGTCTTTGCATTGGCAAACACTGCGAATGACTCTTGTAATGGCATGACATCCATTCTCTTCCCCGTTCTACAGCGCCCTGGAAATACTGAAGACTGTGGATCGTGGTGTCTAGGATGTAACTACATCGCGCAGGATTTCTACCTATTACCTGATGATGTGCTGGCAAGGCTTATACCACCACGGCATGATCCATCAACATTCAGCCACCGCATGGCATTACGCGAATGGTCATGTCGGGACTTTATAGTCCACGCAAGATCATGTTACGGTCTACAAGGCCCCAATGAATTGAGACCATTAATATCGAACGAGGCGATATGTATTTAGAGTGTCAGATAGCATGTTATCACAGGTCGTGCAATCTCGCAACTACTGCAAGGCGCATCTGACCACGGAGAGCAAGGCAAAGTTTAAATATGTCGGGCGCGAACCAAATGATGATGCTACTAGACGTTGAGTCGTTGACCCTGGGCATGTAATGGACTTCTAGCCAGTGGGGCGTTTTCAAGGAAGGTCGTGAGGGCGTTGCAGAGCAGATCCGTGACAAGCAAACAGCCAGTAAATCATAGCTAATCAGTCGACAGCTAGTTGATCAACAGCCTCAATTCACAGCCAGTTCAATCTACAGCCAGCCACGCAGCCGCTATTCTAATCATCAAATGGATATTGATTGATTGGTCGACCGAAATCAGCTTGTACTGACTGCTGAAGGGCTCGATGATGCAGGGACAAATTGGCTGAAAATCAGTGACACAAGATCATGGGGAATCATAAAGTCCTGAAAAGTAGGTCCGCCTAGCGAGACTCGTTGATAAAGGTAATAGCCAGATGTATGCTAAAGGATACTCTGCGCGTTCGGAAACTATCTAGCTGCCAGCTGACGACTCAACCGGACCACATCTCAAATGAGAATGAGTAGTGCTACCCGGACGAGCCTCACATAAAAAACGCCTCTATCCCAAAATTCATGTCGGTTATGATGAAAACCTAGGTTTCTTGTGCTTTTTCTTTCCATCTTTGTCGCTCCCGGGCCTAGGCAGAGTGCGTCTTGAGCAGGCGCTGGAGCTCCGCGGGGTTGGCGCCGACAAAGTTGTCGACCTGCTTGCCGTCCTTGAAAAAGAAGAAGGCGGGAATGGAGCTGACGCGGAGTTCCTGGGAGATTTCGGGAATTTTGTCGACGTCGAACTTGACAAAGTGCACCTTGTCCTTGAAATCATCCGAGTTGGAGTGCCTGCGAGAGGGATTGTTAGTTTGCGTTTGAGTCTTGACCATCGATAGGTTGCAATATTGGAGCTCACTTTTCCAAGACGGGAGCAATGGCCTTGCAAGGCGGGCACCAGTCGGCGTACGAGTCGACAATGACGACCTGGTTGTTTGCGATGGCCTGACGGAACTCGTCGGCGCTGTGAGAGCAAGTGTTAGCTGGCTGATGCATGAATGCGGCAGAAAAGCGCCGGCATCAATTGCCATCTCGAATAACTATTGAGAGACTGAAGAGAAATGATACGTACGTCTTCACAACGTGGACAGTCATGGCTGGACGGGAAACGTGGAAGCGTCGGTTATGGGCGGGAGCAAAAATAGCTTGGCGAACAATGGATGCGATGCGCGAGGCGTTGGAGGGGATGATGCGTGATGACGGAAGCATTTCCGAGGGGAAATGCGAGTTGCTTTTATAGGCGGGAAGGCGTGGGAAGGCAGTGCAGAGTCGTGGTGGTTGGATGTGGTTGCCTTTCTGGAGGCTTGGTCATGGTTGTTGCTGGAATTGTCTGGTTGGCTGCACAAAGCGCTAAATTGAGCCGAACTAACCCGACGGGTTAGATCAGCATTCAGCAGGCTCTCTAGTGTAAGGTATCAGCGCCATTCCCCCTTGGAATGATGGATTTGTCAGGCACATCGACCCGAATTAGTACAAATGACGCAATACCTCTGCCGAATTGTTGACCAGTGCAATTACGCGCTCGAGCTGATACTTGCAGTCACAATTATGTCAAATGCTCAGTCATACGTATAGCTCATGAAACTAGCCGTTTCAAGTTAATCTGTTCGAAACGACAAACTATTAGGGTACTTCCTACTGTAGTCCTTTGGCGTGGAGCACTCTACGCGAGTCCCAGCGGAATGCCCCATTGTTTTCGTTCCTACAGCAACACCAGTCCAACGTGTTTATCATCCCACCTGATGTCAATCTAGACACAACACACAGCAAGAGAAGAAAAGCGCGAAAACAGAGTCTCTGCTTTAAGCAGAGCATACTCCAAAATCAGATAAGATGGCGTACAACAGGATGAGCATCATACCTCAGCAGCAACAGCAGCAGTCGCGGTCGCGCAAAAAAGAAGACGACCCCCTCGCGTATATGCGCTTGCCCGACAGCGAAATTGTAGCCTGCATCACTGAAATCGGCATCAACTTTAGCGTCGCCGACCTCCAGAAACCGAATCCCGCCCACGTCCAGCAGATTCTCGAATGGTTCGCCGAGCTGCTCCTCAATGCCACGCGCGAGACAATCGACCCGGCCATGCGCGCCGCCGCCGAAGACGTCTGCGGCGAGTTTGCCGACGTCATCCCCCCGGACACGCGTAACCTCATGGGCTTTTACGTGTCGCTGCGCCGTCTTCTCAACGAATGCTTAATTACCGATTTTTCCTTCAATGATCTCTACAAGCCGACGCACGAGCGGCTCGTCAAGATCTTTAGCTACCTCATCAACTTTGTGCGCTTCCGCGAGTCGCAGACGTCGGTGGTGGACGAGCACTACAACAAATCCGAGGGCATCAAGACGCGCATCGAGTCGCTGTATGCGGAAAATCAGGAAAAGGAAGACCGGCTCGAGGAGATGCGACACAACCGCAAAGTCATGGAGGCGCAGGTCGCCGAGAAGACGGCGCGCAACGAGGAGCTCAAGCAGCGGCTGCTCGAGCTGCGCCGGAACCAGGAGCGCGTGGCGGCGCGTCTCGACGAGGCCAAACAGCGCAAGACGGAGCTGACGGGTGTCCTGGAGCAAAAGACGCAGGAGAAGCTGACATTGCGGCACGAGAGCGCCAAGCTGCGCCCCTATGTGCTACAGAGTCCCGCCTCGCTGCAGGACCACCTGGCCGAGCTGCGCGAGATTCTCAACAACGACAAGACGCACATTGACGCGCTGGACCGGCGAGCGCGCGCGCTGCAGACATCGTCGGACTCGTTTAGCGCCGTGTCGCTCGACGTCGAGGCGTGCATCAAGATTCTCGAGGAGATTGCGGCGGAGCTGGCCAGGGAGGACGAGGAGCTGGCGCGCCAGGCCAAGCAAAAGGAGGCCCTCACGGAGCGCGGCAACAACGCGCGCGAGGTGGACCGCACAGAGGCCATGCTGAAGCGGCAGCTGGAGAAGTGGAACGACCGCACCGAGCGCCTGCGCGAGCAGGCCAAGCACAAGGCGGCCGAGGCGCGCGAGCGCGTGCACGAGCTGCGCGCGGTGCACGCCAAGCTGACCGAGGAGCAGGCGGACAAGAGCAAGGAGATGGCGATTCGGCGCGTGCGCATCGAGCAAAAAGAAAAGGAGATGTTGGATCTCAAGGAGGCCATTGAGAAGGAGGTGCATGCCGCCCATGATGAGTACCTCAAGATGGAGTCGCACATTAAGCTGTACATGACGGAGATGGAACAGGCCATTATGCTATGATGCGATCTTGTATTTTTGCCCTTTTTCTATTCATATGTATATAGCGTCTCTTGTAACTTGTGCGCGACACGACTTGTTGGATTGGGCATTGGCACGGCGTTGGAAGGAATACCCATTTGGATATAATAAAGATTAATAGAACGTCTGACTTGAAGACGATCCCCTGAAAACCACCATGCTATCATCATGAATCATCAAACGTAAACCATCTTTGAAAAACCGTCCTGGCAGACGTGCACGGCACTCCCCACGTCCCGTCCTCACGCACCGACGCCGTCGTGCTCAGCAGCGGAATCTGCTCCTCGTACGCCGCCCACCTCGTCTCCCCATCTTGCTGCTCGCCTCCTCCGCCACCACCACCATCATCATCCTCCCCCCACCCCTTCGGCTCCATCACCGCCGCCAGCAACCCCCCACGCCTCGCCGCCTCGACGACGCACGCCGCTGTGCAGCCTATGCCCTGCGCGGACCACTCGCTGCCGTCGCGATGCACATCTAAAAACCCGTACACGAGCAGTAACGCCGGCGTCTTCTTCTCCTTCTGCTGCTGCTGCTGCTGCTGTACCAGTGGCGGCGCGGGGACCGGCTTGGTAGCGGGAAATACGGAGAGGTAGGCGCGTAGATGGACGACGCTTGGCGCAAACGCGACGCGGATGTGGCGCGAAGTAGCGAGCCGCGCGAGCGTGGCCCTGAGAACGTCTGGGGGAGACGAGGTGGTGGTGGTGGATGATGATGATGATGATGATGGTGATGATGGCGCCTGGGTGTCGTGGAGCTCGGAGACGGCGGCGTGGAGAAAGTCGGAGCGGGAAGCGCAGATGAGGACGGTGGTGGGATGGGAGAGGGTATCGAGGACGCGGGTGAGAAAGTCGCAAGGGGTGGACGGGGGAAGGATGAGGGGCCGAGTGTCATTGGACATGGTTGGCTGCGCAATGCAGAACTACCTACGGTGTTGACGGATTTGGGTGTGACAAATTGTGCATGGTGAAGTGCCAGAAAAGTGTGTGCATGAGTCAAGGGGTTGCGAGAGGCAAGAGAGAGAGAGTTGAGAGATTGAATGGTGGTTGCAAAAGAGTTGGAATGAACGGGCGGATGGACGGGGTGCGGAGTGCAACTAAAAGAGACATTGTGTTGGCTGAGCTGGTTGGTTACGGCGGCGACACAGAAAAGAATGAATCATCAGTAGGCGGACGTAATGGAAGAATCAACTTGAAAATTATTTAGCTAAAGTGCATACTTGAAAAAAAAAATGATTACAAAGAGCTGAAGAAACGAAGTATCGTGTCAAACACGTAAATGCCCTTGTGCTGATGAAGATTAAGCAATTTGAATTGTACTGAATCACAGTAGGAGTACCCTCTCCAAGATAATGTCCTGTAAGCCGACCAACGCGCCTATCTATGAATAATGATGCTCCCAGGCGTCCAATCCGACGACTTGACGCAGTACCAGCAGTCCGTCTCGCTGTAGCTACTATCGCCCGACGGGCCGCTGTTCTGGTCAATGCTCGCATACAAGCTCCAGCCGTGCCTCTCCAGGACCTCGACCAGGCGTAGCACGAGCAGCCGCGTGCGCATCGTCTCCTCGCCCGTCGCCGACCACGGGTACCCGTACAGTTTAAACTCGTACTGATCCATCGCCGCATCCTTCTCCGTCCGCGCCTGCAGCAGCCGCATGCTGGCCAGCACGTCCCCCACGGCGGCGACCAGTCCCGGCGGCGCGCCCAGCAGCCGCATCTTGTCGCCCTGCTTGAATGACACGGCCATCCACGACGCCGGCGGCAGCGACGGGCCGCCGCGTCGGAAAATGAGCGTGTCCTTGTCAAACTCCTTGCGGGAAATGTCCGTCGACGCCGTCATGATCCACCCGCGGGCATAGAGGCACGCAAAGAGTTCGCGCACGAGCAGAATGGCCGGCACGGCGTAGGGGCCTGTGCCGCTGCCGCTCCAGGGCCGCCCGCGCAGCTTGAACTCGTGTGAGACGGAGTAAGGGCGCTCCGCCTGGATGCCCTCGCGCCAGACCTGCCGGATGAGGGCGCGCACGGCGGCGACGTCGTCGTCGGGAAACTGCACGAGCCGGAGGCGGTCGCTCATGTGCAGCGACAACGAGGCAAAATTGGTCTGGAAGGGCAAGGGGGGTGATGATGTTGACGATGATGAGCCGACAGCTGCATCGTAGGCGGGGGGCGGCGGGCCAGAGGAGGCTTTGTGGGAGGCGGCGGGCAGGGTTTTGGTGTCTGTCATGTTTTTTGCGCTGTGATTTTATAGAATGTCGAGAGAAGTAGGTCTTGAAAGAAAAAAAAAAGATTGTGATACAATGATTCAGCAGCTGGCCAAGCGAAATAGTATTCCGCCTCTTCAGCCTCATCATCGGCCCTGCCCTGTTGGGTCTGGGGCGTGTCGGGCGTCCCCTGGTAAGCCTCGTTTCTCAGCCATCGGACGATCGCCGGCTCGCAGTACTCGTGGCTCTTTGGAAGCGGTTTGGCGTTTTCAGAGGGTGGATAAAAAGGGCCTAATAATAGAGTATTCAATTGATGGCTGTACAACGCATGTTCAGTCTCGCTGCAAGCCACCAGCTCGTCCGTCTGTGGCCAAGTGCAGGTGCAACGATCCGGCTGCATCCGTCATGATGCGCCTGTGGTTACAGCGCAGTAGCATTGCGTCGGCGACAGCTGGGGTGCAGAGGATCGACCCAGTGGTAATTCCGTGTCAAAATTGACGAGGTTGGTCAAGAGTATGTTGGCTGAGTTAGTTGTGCGGGACGAGAATGTAGAGCAGTTGTACAGGCGAGTCACAAGCTACCCAGTTGGTACAAAACTACGTTCCGACCCAACAGCTGCGTTTTAGTTGTGGGTTGTAGTTGTGGGTTGCATAAAATCAGCAAAGTCGGCCGTCGCTGTCTTTCTTGTCTGGTTCGTATCCTCCCGGATCCTTGTCTCGCCATCGACGCCGTTAAAAAGTCTCGCCTCTAGTGCCCGCTTCTAGGCGTTGTCGCGACGCCGGTGCTGCGGATAGCTACATGGTCATTGGTGACTACCTAGGTAGGCACGGAAGGTAACTGGTAGGGTTGGTAAGTAGTTGGCAAATAAGCATCAAGGGATCGCACCGCACGTACCAGTACGCCACTCTCATCTGTGCATTTCCCATAGCCCTCCATGCCCTCATCTGCAAGCCGTGCTCCAGCATCCCGTGAATAGTGCAAGCCACATCCAAATGATCCAAGTCTGTGCACCCCAGCATCACAGTGCCAAGACACAGTACGAAGATAGCCGGGACACATGGCAAACAGGTGCGGAGACGGGCCTCCCCGCCCTTGGCCGAGCTGATATTCCCCCCCAGTTGAACCACCAAGCAACCTGCAAAGCAAACTTGCTGGGTTGAGCAACGGCACTGTGCAGGCTGTCTGGTTGTGCATTTTCAACGGGAACAAGCCCTCGTCCTCTTTTTTGCTCTGCTTCCGACGCCTATTTCCCTTTTTCCTTTCTCATGTCTCATTTCAATTTCATCTAGTCCTGGCCTGCGGCTGCCTTTTTGCTTTTTTGCTTTCCAAACCATCTTCAGCGGGCGCCCCGTTAAAATTTAGCCCCCAAAAGTTCACGTATAGGACCAAGAGGAGCCTCCGCTGGCCTGCTTGCCTCTCAAGCACCTTTTTTACGAGTGGAAAAAAAAAAAGGGACCAAGAGCTGTTCCGGCTCTCAGAGCCTCTGCATCATCCAATGTCGAAAAAAGCGGCTGAATCGGGGTCTCGTGCTGCATACATCCCGACGCGTGTCCTGATCGGCCACTGGGTGCACTCGAGCGAGCCCGAGCCCAACCAACACGCCGTCTATGGCATCCTCAGCCGCGATGGCAAGCTGCGCTTCAAGCTCGTCCCCGAGACCCGCGACGGCCGCGCCGTTCAGGGCAACTACCCGCCTTCCCGCGAGACTTGGGTCATTCACGAGGATATTGTCTTTGAGTCCTACCTCTCCAACCTCAACCGTCTCGGCATGAAAGAGTACTGCCGCGAGCGGGGCCGCCAGGTGGAAGCGGGCGAGAAGCCCGGCGGACCAGACAATGCCGCCAACATCCTCAAGGCCGTCGACAAGGCCGAGCATCTCTGTGCTGCCGCCAAGCATGAGCGGCCCCGCAACCTGCGCTGGGAGCGCGAAAAGTGCGCCGACCGCCGCCGCGCCGTACGTATGGAGGGCTGGGCCACGCGCCGCGCC